AACAATAATGTCTGCAAACAATATGTACACATCATACATATTTAAAACAAGACTTAATATAAACAATAATGAACAGTATATACATGTCTCAGTTTTTCTTCACTGTCTTGAAATACAATTTTACTACACAAGTGATGCAGCAACATATATATAAATGTACTTGTAACTCTACAGTAAAGTTTAATTTTTAGTGCTTTCACAGCACATCAGTGTAAACAGTTTTACTTGGCTTTGGTTTATATTTTAAAACATTCCTTGTTGTATTTTCAAGATTTAAAGCAATTTTCTAATTCTTCCTTTTCACAGAAAACGAAGATTCTGAATGCTGTATAATCATAAATAATTCATAAAATTAAATACATTCACTAAAAAATAAACTACAAAGTAAAAAAAATGAAAAATAGATATTTATTGAAAGGGAAAAGAGAACCATTTCCCCGAGTAGAGCTCTGGTGGTTGAATATTCAGTGCGTTTTGATATATTTTAAATTGCTATTGCACTATAACACCCTTTTTCTTTGAAATTCTTTGGGTGTGCTTCCCTGTTCTACCTAAATTAGTTTGTTAAAACACACAAACCAATAACCCAGGGGCTATGGTTGCTGTAGGAGTGAAGCCTTTAGAACTCATATCACAACCCTGTGATATTTTAAAGGAAAAAACCCAGTCATGAGTTACACATGTGCCTTGCACTTTCATGAAAATTAACAGTTCACATTGCTGGTCTTATCAGTCCTCATTTAATGGAAAAAAACAAAATAAAAGAAAGAAAGAAGACTTCTGGTAACTTCAGCTCACTTTGAAAATCTCTGTCCATCTTTTTTCGAAATACTTCCTCATGTTGTGGCCAGCCCTGCCTATGTCAGAATCATCTTCATTAAAGGTTTCACAGTTGTCAAAAACAAGCCTGACATCGAGCGAAAATGCTTCAAGGTTAGGGTACCTGAAAGAAGAAAGAGGTTGATTTTTGCAACATGGAGAATCAAAGGGGAAAAACACTTCAGCTACATGAGAAAGAACTACTTTGACATCAGTGAATCTGCAGGCAGCCACAGAATATTTGACGAATAATCTACATGTTAAATTGTACTTCAATTTTTTTAATTCTAATTTCAGTATTAACAAGAAAATGAACATCAGTGGAAGCAAATACTCTCTTGTTATGGTATTTGTTATTTTCCTCAAAGACTCTGTAAAGCAGAATTTCAAGCCTGTACTGGAAAACACACTTTTAAAAAATGAACCTCCCCCTTCCCTTCAATAGCTTTCTAGTTAAAACGCTATGGCTATTTTCCATTTATTAATCTATTCCTGGGCTCAGTTCCTTTCAGAGGAAGTGTTGAGTACAGCTGCATTTACCTAAAAGAGGAACAATCGGGTACCAAAAAAAAGGCTGCCCAGATCGATCCCCTAACACTGTCTTTGTTATTCATTATCCAGAGCATATGGCCCAGATAGTGTTCCAGCATTCACAGGAATTATTAAAAAGAAAGACGGTAGAAGTTACAAGCCTACTGATACCAGTGAGCATGTGTGGAGCATTTAAATCTCAGATTCAAGGAAGAACAAGCCTGAAGAGGTTAAAATGCCCCTTGTGTTATCCCAGGCAAGTTGCTTTGTGTGGAGCACACAGACACTGCAGAGGGCCAATCCTTAGGGACGACAAAATTTTCTTTGGTGGTAGGGAGTCATTAGAGCACAGGGATGTAACAAGGAGGGAAGGAGAACAGAGGCATATAGCATCTTTTTGTTTTTTAGAGTCGTGCAGTCTGATTCCAGGACTATAAAGTACTTAACCACCGTTACTGGAATGTCACCTGGCTTCCCACGCAGGGGCACCGACTCCCTCCACAGCTGCAACGTGATTTCCTGGGGCTCCACTAGCTTACAGCCCACACAGTTGGTTCTTGCTTACACATAACAACACCTCTCCACCAGAAAAGAGAAGGGAAAAAAGCTTTTCCTGTTGGTTGGTTTTGTGCATTTCACCTGGCAGTTTTGCTGTTTTTCAGCCAGTTCCACAGGCTCTCCCACCTGACGCGCTCTTGCATTGAGAGGTGGTAAAGACAAAAGTGTACAGTGAAGAATTTTTATCTTGACTGTAAAAGTAATCCAGAGGTGCCAGAGCAGGCAGATCAAAACAGTGTAACTATTTTTTAAAAAATGTACTGTATTTCAATGTTTAAATATTTTTAAAATGTAAAGTAAAATTTACAATAGGTTTACTTACTGTCCACTACTTAGCTTGTCTCTAATGGTGGAAAAGTCCATAGGTTTTTTAATAACTTTCTTATAACCAGGAACAAGTTTCAAGTTTACAGGAAGTAAGAAAGGCCAAGCATCTTCATGAGTTTCCAATTCTGAGAGAATCATGCTGAATAAAACAAGGTTTTAAATCAGTACTTTTAGTGTGTTCATATATTCACAGAAGTTTTTCACTGTTCCATAAATTCATCATTTACTGCCAACCTATCCACTTTATAAAAGGAAAACACCTTATTCTGGTCCCTATGCAAGGCTGAGAACAACATCAATAAAGACAGACATCTGAACTGAGTATTTAAAAAAGCATGAAGTTCCCTCCAGGCAACCCATGTACGATGGAATTCCAGTGATCAACACTCGAAGGTAAAATCGAGGCCGTGCAACTTCAGTACTTTGAACCTCGATGTAAACCATCTGCAAACCAGTAAAACGAGCGCTAATACTGGCACTCCGAAACTGTGACAAGGTCACACGACGTCACTTTGGACTGACCAGCAGTACTACAAAAGAAGATGCATGGCTATTACTGTCTCCTCCTCTAACGTAATGCCTTTTGGACACAGCAGATAATCGTCTTTGCTACTCTCGAGAAGGCCGTCAGCACCACCGCTACCCGGGTTCTTTCCTCCTGTTCTCAGAAGGGCACATGGCAGTAGACTTCACAGACCACCTTCTAACATAAGATACTTTCCTCTTGGGCTCCATTACCAAATAACATGGCTATTACTGTCTCCTCCTCTAACGTAATGCCTTTTGGACACAGCAGATAATCGTCTTTGCTACTCTCGAGAAGGCCGTCAGCACCACCGCTACCCGGGTTCTTTCCTCCTGTTCTCAGAAGGGCACATGGCAGTAGACTTCACAGACCACCTTCTAACATAAGATACTTTCCTCTTGGGCTCCATTACCAAATAACAGCAGTTACTCCCAGCATGCACACAGTAAATCCTTTATATATACACTCAGGGTGGTTGTTCCCCACAACACAGATCAGAAGAATCAGGGACAACTTGTTTCAACAACGCTTACCCAAGTTTAAAATTTGTCAGTTTACCTGCATATAGCCAGGTCCTTCGAGTCATCTCTTTTAGGTTTCTTAACAGCAGTGACATTTTCTTGCTTTAGTTGGTTTGCAGAAACATTTTCATCCAATTTTCTTTTTTTAGAGTCTGCTTTTCCTCTTTTTAAGGAGGCACTTGTAGTTGCAGAGTCTTCATCCTCTGTATCTCCTGCTAATTTCCTTCTCTTTTGTTCATGACTTTTTTTCCCTTTGATTTGACGGTTTTTTATTTTTAGAGTTTGTCCACTTGCCTACGATAGAGAGAACTGAAATAAGTAATAACCAAGAAATTACAGGAACCTGTTATTATTGATAGACAGCAATGAAGATTAATTTCTTGGTACGAATGAAGATTAATTTCTGGTACCTTTAAATCCCCAGCTTTCAGCCAAATTTGGGAAAAAAGGAAAAACTGAGGAAAAAAAACCCACCACATTTTCCTGTTATACTAAACCTAGAAGTTATGGAGGGGGGAATATCAAGAGGAGCAATGGGATGATGGGATCAGTTATAACATGAAAGGGTCATTTCTATCTTTATAACAAGGTAAGTTGATATATTACCATGATAATGGCAGAAAAAGTTACAGTATGAGTTAACCCCTTGTAAACTACTACACAATTCTCAACAGTAAACTGTTTTTATTACTTCTGTTGCACATCTTGTTTTAAAAAACAATTTGTCTTCCTTTTTACTTTCTGAAAGATACAGAGGAAAAAGGATCACACTGACCATACCCAGAGAAAATACAAAACTGAGTATTTACTGTAAAGTTACTTCTTCAGTTACAGTATTCACAGGTAACGGTAGAAAACATAACTAACAAGTTTAGCAAGAAATGCATTTAATTTTAGGACTAACTAGGGGTGGTGAAAATTTCGGACTTTTAAACAATAACAACTGCCGTTTATACAATGATATACGAATAACAATAATTCAGTCATTTGAAAAGAACTATCCTAAAGTTCTACTTAGACTATTTTTCTTGAGAGGGGAAAAAAAAAAAATACACCTCACACAGGAAACACACATAGCCTCTCTCCCAAATGTTCCTTGTATCAAAAAAGTAAAACTAAAGTACGCTGTACAAAAATGACAAAAAATATATACGAAGTATTTTCTCTGATTTTTCTTTTCAAACAGAATCCAAGACATTAGTCTGTCAAAACTTGAAAAAATTCTAAAAGAAAAAATTTAAAAAACTATGGTATTGAATCAGCAAGAAAACTCTGTACCTACTCACATTAAAAAAAAAAAAACCCAACCATTTAAAACAAATAGAACTGTAGCATTTACTGCCACTAAAATCCACATTAAAGAAAACCATTAATCTCATTATTTAATGGCAGCCCAACATAAAACATACAGACCATTATTTTAATTGAAGAAACCTCTAGCAGACCTGTAACTCCACCATCTATACAAAGGCTCCCTTCACTTTTACGGTTAATATTACCTTCGCTATGCAGGCGGGACAAAACCAGTCCCCATCTGGTATGGTCGTGATCTTGGGTCTGTGGCAGTAGGTATGACAGCCTTTATCGCAACCATCGCAAAGGAGCAGCAGTTCCTCATTATCTCCCTTTCGACAAATTTGGCAGTACTATAAAACAGGAAAAATGACTTTAATTCAGTGTTTAAAATTTGAAACACAGGAATGGTACCTAAATCACTGTTCCCCTCCAAACACACGATCCACTCGCAAAATTATTCGCCTTTCATTTTACTACAACCAGTCTACCAATGATCACATTTGTAAAAGAATACATGCAGTATGTGAGGAACTATCTACAGGCTACCTTTGGGAACACATTTGAAAAGCAATTCATTATCAGATACGTGCCCTACAGCACACAAAACTGTGAATACTTTTAATATTTCATTAATGTCCATGAGAAGTAATACCCGCCAAAATCACTTGTCCCACACACGCCATCTCAGGCATCTTCTCTTCATTTATGCCCATACTGCATATATAACTTGCTATTTCATTAAAAACAATATATTTTACTAGAGTATTTTCAAATAATAATCAGTAAGTCAGTAAGGACCTTATCTGAAGGCCACCATGAACAAAAGCAGTAAAGGCAGAACAAATGAACCTAGCACTTCCTAAAATTCACTCTAACTTGAAATGTCTCATGTACTGACAATTTTCTTACACACAGCGTGTGATTTTCTTCTATAGCTGGACTTCTTTTTCAGGAACTTAAAGATCTCCACATGTTTTCACCAAACACTTATGTTTACAGTGTGATTAAATGCACAGAACATTTCAATCAAATCGAGAATGATTCTACACATTTTTACCACACCTTGAAACACCCAAATGCCTTCTCAGGTGCTTCTACTAAATTCATAAACTTTTTGGTCTAAAGATACATCTTCAACCTTACAGCTATATAAACTCAAAGGTACAGCCTTACACTATAGTTTTTATTTAAATCATCCTTTCGTTGTCCAGATGTAATTAGAATCTGTATAAGACTGGCAGAAATTAAAAAATTAGGGAAAAGACTACTAATGGAAGAATCACTTTTGCCACCCAATACAGTGCACTGGCCACACTTAACCACTGTTGCTGTAGCCATAGTTTTGTTTTCAGAAATTTGAGGTTCAAAGGTCCCTGCACATTTTGACACATGCATTTTGCATGCCTTCTTTGTATCTGCAGTTAACACAGATCCACTTGTTAAGCGTACGGGGAAACGGGCATTTCAGCCTGTTTGCTCACACGCTTGCCCAATTTGTATGTTCAGTGGTGAGCAGTGTGCGTGCAAAGCTGCCACACATATGGAGCATCTCGACTTTCCAACAAACGAAGTCCTTAATTGGGATACGTGGCGTTGAACCTCCATAAAGCTTATGTTACGGATGAGATCAGAAATATTTCATCAGATAGAGTATCTTTCATCAGATGGAGCCAGAAGTGACTCTTTTTTACCTAAATGTTAACAATGAAGAGTAATTACCATCTTAAATAAAGCAACCAGTTGCAGGGGCTTTTTATCTTAGAAAGTTCAGGATGCTGAATTTGACAAGAAGCGGACAGTCTTATCCATCAGGCTTGTATTTATCTGTGCACAATGTGCAGTTTAACTGCATCACGTTTTACACACAGTAATAAGAAATGCATTATTAACCATGGTATCTTAGAATGCCTGAAGTGGGAATATAAGATATAGCATAAGCAGTTTAGTTACAGTATTTTTTTAAATTAAAAACACTTACAACTTTCATAATAGATTTTTCCCACGCTATTGATTTCTGCAACTGCTGAATGCACAGAGCTACCTGCGCAGCACTGCGTGCTTCTGATACTGCCCTTCTCCACACCTT